GTAATTACACGCGGTGCGTATACCTGATGTGCGTGTCCGGCATACCTTTGCGAGGGAGAAAATTAAACGCTCGCACGTATCTCCGAGCTTCTCCCGTCTTCGCCTGTAATGCAACTCGCAGTTTCGAAAATCATCATCGTTGCATTTTCTACACGTAAAGTCCGATGCACAACCAACCCACGTGCATAATCGAAATTATCCCCAAGTGGTTGCAAGTCCCAAATGTTAATTGCACAGTGATCGAACCAACGGCTCTCCTGTGTCTAAGTATAACACGGAAAAACGTACTTACAGCTCTCGCGTGCGCATAATACACGTCAATCACGCGCGCCATTGGAAGAAAAAAAAAAATCATAAAAATCGCTGTTCCAAATAGTAAAAAGCCTCTATAGACAACTGAACAGTACCAGATACTGGCATGGTAATTTTTTTTTCTATGTGCATATGTGTGGGGGTAGAGCACCCTGTCGCCAGGACTCATGGATTATAACTTAGTCGCAAAGCTCATCGACGTACTTGTGGTGCAATGTGCAAAGAGACACGTACGCTGAAAACTCTTTCTCTTCCTCTCGTATTTCTCGTACCTATACTTATTAAATGCCTTTTACTCGCGTAAACGCGTGTACAACCTGTTAATATTATATCCTCAATGTGTGTGCGTGTATAAATATGTATATAACCCTCACGAGCATGACGTAAGTGGAGTAAACAAGTAAAGTGCACGCGAGGAGCTCGAAAGCACATAATGTTACACGTGAAGAGGGAAGAAAGGGCGGAGAAAGAAGAGCCGCATCAGCAATATATGTATATATGGCAGTGCCTTCGGGTTGTGCACAGCCCATGGGCTAACCGAAAGGACTTTGGTATGCGGTCCTCCTCGAGGCGAGCCCTATGGTTTCTCACACGCGATGCACTACGTGTTTATATACATATATATATATACATACAAGAGTGTGTCCAAGCAAGGGCAATAGCTCCTATCTTGCGTTGTGTATGTGCACCCGCACGTGCGCGTGTGTGTAGGTATGCTTGCAAATACTTTTTGCCCCCTTTGGGCGGCCGATACGTTCTTTCTTGCCTTTCCTCTTTCGCTTTCTCCCCTTTTTTTTTTCTTTCTCCTCCCACTTGGCTTCTCTCGCTTCTTTTCCTCCGCTTCTCTTCTGCCGGGTTCTTAAGTGACTTTTTTTCCCCGGCCTGATTTGATTTCCGTGTAACGAGCCCTATCTTTTGTTTCCCCCCCCCCTCCCACCGCCACCGCCGCACGACTGATTTATTTTCCACAAATAATTGTTCGCCGAAGCAAGTTTCATTTTTGCTTCGTCGCCCTTTTCGGCGCCCCTTGGCTCATTAACGCGCTTAAACGGGCCTTTTAAATAAGTTACTTCTAATTGAAAGTGGTGCCGAACTACACGCGGACCGTAATTGCTTTAGCCACAAAGTAGGATGTGAGTATGAGTACATACAGTGAAACCCCGTGTGTGGCCCGATCGAGGTGCACAGGAGCCCGATTTCTGGGCCATATCACTATAACCCGCCATTGGCATTTGAACACAAAATATCATCTCCTTTGCGTGCCATTATGTGACTATACGCGTATACGGTGCTCTCTCGCCAAGGACACTCGCTGCGAAGGTACACAATATATGTATGGTACAGGTATACACATGCACGCTCGTGCGAATATTATCAGGCGGGCGAATCGACGCCTCGACCTTAAAAAAAAAAAAATGAGGGGAAGAGGGACCCGAAAATCCGCCCGCCGCGTTCATCTGGAGAAGGAAAGCAAGAAAGAGATCGAGCGAGCGATTATTCAAGAGCTCGGTCGCAATTAGCGCTCAAAGTACCCTGATTAAAGGGGTCTCGCCCTCCCCCTTCGCACTGAGAGATAAAAAATGTACCGTACCCAGTGGATTGTGTACGTATGCATGCAAACACATACACGTATACATAAGTATATATATGTAAGGGGGCCATCCGATTGAGATATAAAATGTTTAATTGCTCCCCGTGAAGAGGTATACAGTATACGTGTCTTCCTTCCCGTTCCCTTGGTTTTCGGCGCTCGTGCGTATAAATACGTATAACAGTGCAGAGCACGGTCGAGCAGGCCATAATGAGCCGATCTTCCTCCTTCCCTCTTGTGCACATATACCCACTTCGCGACGTACATATATACACACATCAGGACGAATCTGCTTGTGTGGGTGTATATGTATTTATATATATCTATACGTGTGCACGGTGCACGCGAGGCTCCCTCTCGCGCTACACATAAATCTGCCCGCGCGCGGGGGCCCGGAACGACGAAGACGACAACGACGAGGAGGAGGAGAAGAAGGTAGGTATAATCTCGCATGAGGTCCTACACCTGTCTCAGGTGCATATATTTATTCCGTCCTCTTTTCCTTCCTTCCTTCCTTCCTCTGTATACCTTTTCTCCCCTCTCGCTTCGTTCTTTGCATTTTGGTGCGCGATCACTGAGCCTATGCATGTATAAGGTATACGTGTAATGGCAGTCGGTTCCCTCGGTCCAGTTCTCTCCCCTGTATACGTATAGGCTCGTATACCCGTGTCAATTTCTCCCTTCTCACTTCTGTCGTTCCTCCAATTTATTTGACCTCTCTCTCTCTCTCTCTCGTTTCCTCGCTCTTTGTCTCCATCCGTCCTTCTTTCTTTCCTCCACTGTCGGCTTATCGATTCCTCTTCGTCTCGCGTGCCTTGTTTTTTTTTTTTCCCTCCTCCTCCTTCTACCCCCCTTCTCTTATTCCTTTACAACTTTGGCGTACAGGTATTCCTTACCTGCACGCCGCATCTCTCTCTCTGCTTCCTTTTTTCTCTCTCGTTCCCCTGCAAAGTGCTGGCCTGTACGTGCGGCTTACTCCGCGCCCGATCGTTTACACGCGCGCCTCTTTCGCGCTCCAGCATCCACACAGACCAGTGTCTCTCTCTCTCTCTCTCTGTGTAGGAGAGTGCGGGGGGTCCCCTCTCTCGGGCCCGTGGGTTATTAATCTCTTTCGATATAAACTTTTACTACTCGTGACTCAGCGGATACGCTGTGCTTTTTCTCTCCTTCGCGTTTGCTATGCACGTGCTGTGTCCCATTCTAAAAAATCTTCTTTTTTTTTTTCTCTGCTATTTATGCGTATGGGGTGGTTGTACATAAACGTTGATGAAGCAGATCGGGTTGGCTGTAGTTTCGTGGATGCGCGTATCGGCAAAAAAAAAAAAAAAAAGGAAAAGATAGACGTTATTCATTCAAGTGTCGCGATTTCTATTTTTGGCTTATCGACAAACGGCACCCGGGCACCCTCATGGTGTGTTTCGTGGCAACTGTAATATACTGATTAGACCCTCATTATGATGCGGGCGGCGGACGCTTTCTACCGTCGTTTGAATGGATTTTACTTTTCAATACCGCCCACGTCCCTGTATACGCGCTGAGCCTCGCCTTGTGCGTCGGTATTAAGGTAGCGGAGCTTCCTGTGTACCTCGTACAAAAGAAAGAGATCAAAGACCGACGAATCGAATGTTTCGTAGGTACGCAAGAAAACGGTTCCGTTAATGAAGGAAAAAGAAGAAACAGCCTCGAGATCCTTTTCTTCTTTTGTCAAAAAACAAAAACGTCAAAAACCTCTCCGGGCGTGTTGGTACATCCGGAAGACGTCAGCGCCTCGAAAAGGAAAAAAAAAAGAAAAAGTTCAAGGCTCGGGGAGAGAGAGAGAGAGAACAGGAAATCAGAAACTGATTAGGAACAAAGGGAGTAGGCAAGAAAGTGCGCGGCAAATCGATATTATATGTACGGACCATGTAGAGGAGGAGGAGGAGGAGGCAGGGGGTTAATAGAGTGAGAGTGGCGGACAACAATAGGAGAGTATACACAAGATAGCCGGGCGGAGGCGGACTATGATACAATCCGAGGTGGAGGAGGATAGCAGTTGTGGGAATCGCGGAAAGTTGCAGCATCCCCTCTCTCTCTCTCTCTCTCTCTCTTTATCTCCTTTTTCTTTTTTGTTTTTGCGCATTAGACTCGCTTTCGTGTAGGTAGGTATGAATTATATAAGTACACGTGACGAGAATCCGGCTCTTTTTTTGTTGTGTACGGATACACCTACCGTAATGCCCTGTGGTGCAAAAGGAGCGAGGTTTATGCTTGTGTATTAATACAGCGAGAGACTAGCGTGAAAATAGGCGCGACAAAACGGGAAAGAAGTATCAAGGAGGCCCCGTGGATCCACGTTTTATTGTTCCCACCGAATAAGGTGAGAGTACGTTGGAGGTGCGGGTGCGTCGGAAAAATTAACAGAGCTGATCTTCGCCTGCGGGTACAATGGAGGCTCATTGTTTTATTGCGCACTTCTCGTTTACACCATTGCGAGTAGGTATTGCGTATATGCAGGGAAGTAGATGGGGCACACATTAGGCGTTGCAGATGCAGTTTTATTCATCCTGACTTTTTTTTATCAAAATGATAAACGCATCTTTTGAAAGGATATTGTACAGAGCGGTTTGATTGAGTAGCGAAGCGGGCGAATAAATCGAAGCCTCGTCAAAGTGTACGATCAAAGGTGGATTTATATATATACGTGATAAATTTTCGTGTTTTATTTTTTTTCTTATTTTTACCGATCAGCCGCACAAAAACGCATCAACGTCGCTGCCTTGTTGACTCAGCAGTAAACATAAAGTTGTCAGTGTTGCACACATTTTAATGAAAACACACGAGAACGAGAAATCGGGGGCCCGGCTATTTACGATTCGCAGAATCCAAAATGAAACGGCAGCTCTCTCGGGAGGAAGGAGAAAAAAAAAAAAAAAAA